TGGAGCTCTTCCAAATTTGTATCTTCTTTTTCTGCCTATGGCTGTCCTCTGAGGAGGTGGAAAAATCATAAAGACAAAGTCTCCTTGGATATCGAGAAGGATGACTCTGCTAGGGCTCCAAAGAAATCCTCATCTTTCAGAGAAAGTGATATTTCCTGGTCTTCTCACTGTCCATGCTGCATTATACTCCATGTGCTCACTTCTACTCCCATCTCCTGTGAGTCCACATAGTTCCAGCACTGAGCCTCAGCACAACAGCAAACAAATTCCTCCTTTAGTGCTCTTTCCATGCCTCCTTATATTCCTCCAGGAGATACTTTCAGATGCCGACCTCCACGTCAGGCACAGAACAGGCGTGTTATGCCACAGGGCAGCGGAAAGATGAAACGTTTTTGTTAGATCACACGTGTGAGTGTGCACTTGGAGCTGTGACGTGGGCCTGCATTCCTCCACCGAAGGGCCCTTGCGCTCTCTGTAGACTGGTGCTGGGGCAGTGTCTCCAGAAGCCAGATGCGCAGGTTGGTAGGCCTGTCCATACCTCTCTCTCTGTAGCATGAGGGACTGAGACTGGGTAACCAACAGGGTCCCCAGAAGAAGGCTGAGCAGCAGGAAAAAGATGAGAGCTGCTCAGGAATCAGCTCCAGTAGGTCTTACTCTAATGGGTGGGTTTAAGAGGAGCAAAGGGCAGTGATTTCCCCATTTTATAGTGCCTATTAGTACTACATAGTGCTATTTTTATAGTATCAAATATATTTTTATTTTATGGGGTAAGATTTGCATTTTTGTTGTACTTTGTTTTGTACAGCAGGAATACAAGAAGACCATAAGCCTTGCCTGGGTGCGTGTAGAAGCACAGGGAGCTCAGAAGCAGTAAATAGGCTGAGTTTCTGTCCATCCCAAAGGATCGAGCAGCGGGTGGGAAGGCAGCGCTTGTCAAAGAGTCTCAGGGCGCAGCTCTTGCTGGGAAAGTCTGAGCACGCTTGTGCTGTCTGAGCAGCTTGGCCTGCTCCCAGGTGGTACACTGAGAGGAGTGATGTGGGAATCTGTGCTCACTGCGAAGGCAAAAATCAGCTGCTTCCATCCATATTGTTTCCACACGAGGAAGATGGGGCTAACTCCGGAGCTCCTTGTCCAAAGAGCTCCCTGATCAGCAGGAGGGTTGGACCGGGTGCTGAGGAGCTCCTGAGGTGGAGATGATTTTGCTGCATGGGCAGTAACACACATGCACGTTGCGGGTCCCACGCTCTCCAGGTGCATGGAGACATGCATGTGGTCGGTGACTCTCCCATTCAGGCCCACCTCCACTTCACTTCTTCTCCTCAGAACCTTTAGACAGACATCAAGAATGTGCTCCAAGTACATTCTAGAGCCTCTACGCTCACAAGCAAGGACTAAAGACAGCAAATGAACAGTTGAAACTTTCGAGCAAGACCCACAAKCCAAAGGAAGAGAACTGATCTAAGTGTGATTAAGAATTAGGTAGAGACGAACATGTAATTATCCAGTCAAAGCAAGGTGTCTCTTGATCTCCGTGAATGCTGGCTCCGTTCCAAGCTGCAAATGAGCTGCACGGAATTACTCACGCTGTAATTGCAAGCCATCTCCGATCTCCCAGGAGATCTCCTACTTGGGAGACTCCTCTTTCAAGCAGTCGCTGCTAGACAATGCTCAGCTAAGTTGGGAAATGGAAAGCATAAATGCTCAGCATAGAAGCACAGTGTGAGAGCTTGTCTCCTGTGTTTGCTACAATAGCTTGTACAGCAAGCTGGCAAATGGGGTTTGGATCAGTATGGAGTCTGCTCTACTCTGGCATGCCAGTTGACAAGCCAAGGTCACAGCTACCATGTTTCTTTATAGCGATTTGTGTGTAACAAATTGYTGGATCTTAAAACAGCCCAAAGTTGTGCAGGAATATGCATGAAAAGTCAGGCCCAATCCTCTGCTGATGTACTTTCTCCATTTCAAAATTAACCTTTCAGAAATATCAACCAAACAGTCACACGCAGCTTGCTGCCTTCCTAGGAAACCTTTCCAATTTTGGCATTGTGACTGTAACTTGAGTTAACTCCATCATTGCTCACGATCATCTTCCCATCTTCCTGCTGTCTCCAAGACCATTTCAGCTCCAGTGCACCTTTGTTTACAGTTATCTTTATGCTCTGCATGTAGGCAATCTGTCTTTCCTGATGCCCCACTGGGGATGCCAATGTCAGAGGATGCTATTGAAACACGGCTGCGTGAAGGTGTGTGTGTTTAAAATGCAGGAGGAGAACATCCCTAATGTGTGGTGGCTATACTGTTACTGCAGAAGAATCAGATCTGGAGAGGATCATCTTCTTTCTCATCCCCAGGAGATACCCACAAATCAACGAGGGGCAGCCACAGCAAACCTCAATTTTCCTTCATCCTTATGGAACCCATCCATGCTTTACAYGCCTTCAAGGAAGCCCTTCACCTGCCACCACCTGGACCTAGCACCCGAAGATGAAGGCTTGCAGCACAAGCCATGGTCCTATCTCTGAACCAAGAGCATCCCAATCATTGACTTTGTAAGGCATAGTGCTCCCTTGGAAGCGTGTTCTTTAAAGGGAGTTTTGGATTAGGGTAGGTACAACTGGAGCTCGCCCTGATGCGGAGCAAGCCGAGGGAACAGCACTATAATATATGCAGTCATGCAAGGTGAACTGAATAGAGAAGGCTTCAGGAGGTATATGACTAACCTGGAATGCTATTGAAGATGCAGGCTGGCAGTCAGAAAAGAGAAGAACTACAGRATCATCCCTGTACCATTGCAGTCTGGAGGGGCAGGAAGAAAACCAGTGTGCAACAGGCTACACCTCCCCAGATGTCATCTCTCATCTCCAGGGGAATGAAGGAGAAGGACCCAAGGCACCTTAGGCTATGCCTCTATATTTGGCCYATGTGCTGAGAAAAGCCAGATTCTTCTCTGTTGTGCTGGTGACACTAATRGCCTTAGAAGAACCCCAAGTGAGGGAGGCCCTCAAAGAGAGCCACCATATAAGCTGCCCAGTGCTCTCGGTCCTACCTTGGGCTCTGAACTCGCTGTTCTTGAGTTACAGCAGAGTAATACAGTTTCTTCAGAGCTTGCAGAGCTCTCCAGCTTCCTGYAATTACACAAATTGGTGAATGTTAGTGATGACCCAGGTGATGTAAAAAAGGCCCATACACTGTGGGAGAAACAAGCTACACTCACATAGCCCAGGACACCGCCGTGCTGACCTGCTTCCCTGATCCCATCTCAGGGCCTGTTCCACAGTCCTGCCATCTGCAGAACTCCTCTTCTGGTCCTGGGTATGTGGAAGCTCTGTGCCTCAGCCCTGCTTTGCAGCATGCTGGTTTTATTGACTTTTCCATATATCCTAGCATCACCCTTTTCCCCTCTGTGCTCCCGCGCTGAGTGTGGGATCAGCATGAAGCACCACTGAGAAGTTTGAGTGACATGAACTAGAGTACTGTACACGGGCAAACCAGTTTCCTGGCTTATCTCAGGACAATCCCTACGTGGAACAATGCAGACTGGGCAGGCCTTCAAGAGGTGTGACTATCACACAAGTCCTGAGTGCAAGCGGCTCTGGAGACAGCTGTGATTAGGAGGACACATCTAAATAGGAGGATGAATATTCAATAATGTACATATATCTGTACATATACATTTATATACATATATACACACACACATAAACTTGTTTCCAGGAACAGTCTGAAGCCTTTGCCTCATGTCACAGCTTAATGTTCAAGATTTCCCTGGCATCATCCTTCTGCCCTCCTTTCCCCAGCAGACAAATAAGTGAATGACATGTGGATTTCTGCTTCCTASGACTGCAGAATGGAACCAGATTATGCAGTAAACATCTGCCTGCTTCAGGGTGAAGGGCAGAGGTCGGGCAAGGAGGAAAGCCCATGGGAGGAGGATCACCTTCACCTTTCGTGGGTAGGGTAAGTTGAGGAAGGTTTTTGCCCTTCCTGTGCACGTGAGGGCAAGGTGTGCACATGTGCTCCCAAAACAGCAAGGGTGGGATGTGGTGAGCAGGCCCAGCCACGCGAGAAGGGAAAGGAAGAACTCTCCCTTCCAGCTAGGGACTCTGCTCAAGGTGTCTGCATTTTGCTGGGCTTCCTCTGGGGAAACGCGGTCACCGTGTTCCAGCAGAAGCAGAAGGCAGCCGTATAAGCTCTGGGGCACTTGCTGGCACAGCAGAAAGGACTGCGGTTTCAGGTGTCTCCCCGGATAAAGATCCCGACTCCTCGTGCTCCCAGCCAGCTGCAGCGGGAGGAAAAGCCCCGCCAAGGCAGCCAGACGCCGGGGCCCCTCAGCCCGGAGCCGGGGGTCCCCGCAGGCGCCGGGCCGGCCCTTTCCGCGGCTTCCTTTAGGTGGCACCTCTCCTCCAGGAATGCGCCGCCCGCCGCGGCCCCTCGCCCGCCCGCCCGGCCGCGCTCCGCGGGGCCCCGCGCAGGAGCCGCCGGCGCGGCCGCCGCGCGCTCCCCCTGCCCCCGGAGCGGCCCCTCCCTCCATCCCGTGCCCGTCTCCCCCGTCCTCCCTCTCACTCCTCCAGCCAGTAAATCCGATCTAGGCTGATTCCTCTCACGTCAAACCACATGATCCCATAAAACATTCATCGCCTCTCTCCGTCCCCGCGCCCTGCTCGCTCCTGCCCGGGATACGGTGCAGGAGGCTCCGCGCTCGCTGCCCGCCGCCGGCTCTGCCTCCTGCGGGATCCGCCGCAGCCCCGGCCCGGCCCGGCCCGGCCCGGCCCCGGCCCCGTGCGTGCGGCGGGCGGGAGGGAGGACGCAGGGAGGAGGCAGGCGGGCGGGCAGGCAGGCAGGGAGGGGGAGCCTCGCCTGGATGCTGACTCCAGCTCGGGGGCTGCTCATTCCCCCGATGAGCGAGGGCACCGGCACAAGGAGAGCCCCTTCCCCGTGCGCCGCCGCCGCTCCGGGCTCCGGCTGAAGTTTTTTTTTTTTTTTTTTTCTTCTTCTTTTTTACACGAGGATCTGCCCCACTTTTGCAAGGATTTGTACCGCCGCCGCTCGACTTTGCGCCTCCAGACGTGCCTTCCCCGACCCCTAAGATGAAGAGGGCGACAGCCGAAGGTAGGCGCGTCTCCCTCCCCGGGGCTGCCCCTCGGCCCCGGGGGCGGCGGGGCAGGGCGCRGCGGGGACATCCCCAACTTCGCAGGGAACAGGGAACTTCCCCCCCTCGCTCCAACTTTCTTCCGTGGAGTCGGCGGAGCGGCCGCGTCCCGCCCGCCCCGGCCGCACTGGGGGCAGCGGGACCCCCGGCGCCCGCCGCCTCCCGGTGGCACCGGGCAAAGCGAAGGGGCTGGCGGGGGATCCGCGGAGGGGCAGCGGGGAGTGAGTGCGGATTTGCACAAGGAGCGGGCACGCGAGGCTGGAAGCGGGGATAGGGACGGGGCAGGGGGGCGGACCGGGCTGTGCCCCGGCTCGGGGCTGCCGCTGCTCGGCCCCAGCCCCCGCAGCAGGGCTGGGAGCTGCAGGGAAGGCGGAGGGGTTGAGACCTCGCAGTCCCATCCCCTTGGGGGGCCGCTCCGCCTCCCCMCCACCCCTCCACTCCTTTACGCCTCTCGCCCCGGTTCGGCCTTGGGGTGACCGGGCTCCCCCCGAAGTTGGGGCAGGGAAAGTGTTAAAGAGGATGGGCCGCCGGTGGCAGCGGCGTCCTGTGGCTCTCAAGACTGCCTCCCAGAGGGGCACAAATCTTCCTGATAAAGGTAGCCACGCTGCTCTGAAGCAGCCGCCTTGCAGCGCCGGCGAGGAGAGAGGGGAGCAGGGAAGCCGGGGCGGGAGCTGGCGGGGGACGGGAGCAGCCTCGGTCCCTGCCGCCCGATCCCGCCTCACGGGGCAGGGGAGGGAGAGGGGCCCCACYGAGGCGGGCAGCGGGGCCGGGAAACCGGCGGGGCCGCGGGGAATGGATGGGGATTTAGGAGTGGAATTTAGGTGCGGGATTTAGACAGGGCGCCGAGCGGTGCTTCCTTCCCCCGGGGCCCCCYGCTCGGTCTCAGCTCGGTGTCAGTGCAGCCGGGGGTGCTCTGCACACTGTGCAGCTGGGGACACAGCTTGCAGCAGGACGGCCTTCCMGGCACCCAGCGTGGCATCGCCACCCCACAGGGCTGAACCATCTCCTCTTGCWGCACCTAGCCCTGCTCCATCTGCTCGTCTGGCAGCCCTTGCTTCCCTGCTCCCTGCAGCCGGGAGCTGCTGCCGCTGTTTCAGGTGTGCGGCTGCTTGGAGCATTTGCAGGCGCTCAGGGTGAAACCTGGAATAAAGACCTACATTTGGAAGACGATGTTCTCACACTGCAGGCTCTGACCACTTGGAGAATCATGTGCCACCCAGGTTTATTATTGGAAACCCTGCCCACGGGTTGCAATTTTTAGCCCACTGTTGAAGCTCCTCAGCTGCCCAGGCTGCTGGTCAAGAGAGTGTTTAGCGTGCAGTATATGGTGTCTCTTTGCATGCCATATCTGGCTTGCATCTTCTTTCCATCAGTGACACAAATACAGCCATTCTTTTTGTTTGGCTGCTTTATTTTATTTATTTATTTATTTWTTGAGGTCACTTTGGCTGATACACTTGTGATGCTCCAAGCACTGCACTTTGGAGATTTTGAAATGTTTTTAATTTTGAAGCAGGCCGGGTTTTCCATGTTTGTAAAGCCTCTTGGGAACAGGTTGCAGGGGTGCCTTCTGCGCTCCCTTGGTGGGGGTAYTGCTATTTCAGCATTCATTCGTTTCTTGCTGTAGCGCGCCTGGTGCAGGGGTACCCGCCGGTTCGAATCTCATGCCTGTTTGTGTGCTGGGTTCCTGGCACCGCGTTTGTGCTGCCCCAGGGGCAATGTGTGCACAGGGATGCTGCGGGGTGGCTGCTCGCTGTGCCGGGTGTGCAGGGCATGGGTGGGGTGCAGGAGCCCAGAGCAGCCTTGCTGCAGCACAGCGCTCTGCACCGTGACATTGCCCAGGCTCCCGGCGTAACAAGAAAAAATACGGATGATAATGAAATATAAAAATCTGTGTTACAGTGACTTTATTTTTAGAACAAAGCTTTGACGATTTGACTTTCTTTTTCCCCTTGCATTTTATGAGTTGCTCCTGTGAGATGATGCTGGGTAGCCTGGATTCCTGGTAGGTGTGGCTGTAAAATCCACATGAATCTTGAGAGATTAGGCTCAAATGAATGGTCATCYTTACAGAGTCTGGGCTGCATTTCCTCCTTTGGCTGACATGCAAGTGTCTTGTAAGCCAGAAATAGCCAGCTGGGCAGTTAGATGGTCAAAGCTTTTACCTGGTGTTCTCTGCACTTGTTATTTTATTAACACAATTTATTTTTATTTGAAAAAAAGGCTTTCTGTGCATTGTCTGCTTATTGTTTGATAGCATTTCTCAGTAAAGTAAAACCCTCTAATATGAAAATCTTCACCAGACTTGGAGACTACACGTTCACTGATGTGGACACGTCTCTTTCTGCTCCTTTTAGAGAAGAAACCAGCTATTAATGTATTATTTTATATCTCCATTATATATACTGTTCATTTTATAGGAAGGGACCTCATCATTTCCTAGGCTTTGGGCCCCAGCCTCCKCTAGACAGCATCTATCTCAGTCCTCTATTCTTTGGGACCGTAGCAGGCTCTGCCTAGTGAAGTTATTTAAGGAGAAATATCAGGGCAAAAAGGCCCGGATGCAGTTGTGTTTTTCTGCACCCCTGCTGTCTGCAATGGTTTCCCTGCTGAGAGCACTAGGGAAAGCCCATCTGGAAGGTGTGTTTGTTAGTAGGGGTGCAGCGGAGCTTGCACTGCCCCTTGGGCTGTGCTGCCCCGGGAGCAGCGTTGCAGCAGTGCTGCAAGGGGAACGAGGCTGCACGCTGCTGCATCCACGCCAATCCCCTCTGTGCTGCCTTCGGATGCTCTGGGTTTTGTTGGAATAACCCCTCCCTGCCAGCCCCCTGCCACCCCGTGCGGGGGCCTGTGTTCATGAACGGGAGGGTTCCCACCACTCCCGCTCCTATAACCCCATGAGACACCAGCAACAGGGACCTCGTGCCTGTTTAATCCTCTTGACGCCACGGCTGACTCTGGCCATTAAGCTTTCCAAAGGAATAAGCAAAACCTGCAAATCCGGACAGTGTCCCTGTGATTTCTCCACCTTGGCTCCTTCGGAAGCAGCAGGGAGTGTGCGGAATGGAGGCAGGGGAGGGAAGGGCGCTCTGGAGCAGAGGCTTCCAGGGGCTCCACTCGGCACCCGTGGGCCCTCGGGTGCAGTGTGTGCGGGGGGTTGCAGGGAGCCGCTGCCTGCCCTGGAAAGCGCTTTGTCTTCCTTCCCTTTCCATCCTCCTGCCTATAAGGGGTCGGAGCACCCCATCTCCCACTGGGAAGCACCGGAGAGCAACTTGCACGCAGCTAGCCCTGGGAAGGGCACCCTGTGAGCGCGGCCGAGCTCCTTGATGCTTTGGGCCCTGCTGGGTCCCACTCGCGGGGAGGAAGAGGCAGCCGAGCCGGAGCCTCAGCACAAAGCAGGGCCCGAGCGGATCCGAGGGGCTGAGCGCTGATCTCCACTCTGAGCCTGCACCCGGCTGCTGCTCGGCTCACTCCGGCCCCTCTCCGCTGCCAGGGGCATCCCAGGCGCAGGCCCGCTGCTGGATTTGCATGGCACATCCCGCTGAAGGCAGAACCGAAGGGAGAAGAAAGGAGTCCGTCTGATTAGGTGTGCATTCTCTTCCCCTTGGATTTGCAATGCTTTCTGCTGCTGTCACCTTCATTAAGACATACCTCTGAGTGCCAAATGCCTCTTTTGATGTTCCTAAAGGGTTTTATTTATCCGGGAGGCTTGCATGGAGCAGAGGAGGGGTAACCTGTGCTGCTCCAAAGAGGTTGTACTACTGGGCTTGGTAGGGATGGGAATTGCTCCCTCCTGTACACGTGGGAAGTTTTCTATTGTGTCCTCCTGAATCCAACTGGATCTGTCTAGGATCTGTCAGAAATGGGGCTCTGGGCCTTCCCCAGCACAGAAACACACTGGTGTGAAGGGAGTAAAGAGGCTTGGAAAAGTGTAGCCTCTCCTCTATTTTTATGCTTATGGTTGCAACTCCCGGATGTTTCCAGAGCACAGAGAAGAAGAAAGATGCATTTATTCTGAGAAAAACCATAATCGGTATAAAGAAACACAGGTTGACTCCTTCTGTGATTTCACAGAGGTGACAAGAGAGTCCGTATAGACCTTGTAAAGTATTCAGACTCACCTGAGCCTGCACTGTTGTCTTGTTATGGTCGTAGAGACAAGCAGCAGTCTGTGTTTGTGGGGTTAGTTGCTCGTTATGTCATTTAAGAGTTGTTCAGTGATGATAAATAGGCTTATAGCAGAGTCACATCAAAGTGACACAGGTATTTTCCATGGTGTGTGTGCAGCATGCAAGCAAAGACCCTACCTAGATCCAACACAGGACACATGAGCACGTTGTGTGCACAGGGGCTGCCCATATTTAGTTTGTTTTTAGAGAGCTCCCAGAAGTTGGAGCTTCTGGAGTCTGTTCTTGGTCCAAACTCTGACTTTTCTCTGCATCCTTGGCCAGATCAGTGAACCCTGTGATTTAGTTTCACCTTTTCTGACTCTAAGAGTGCGTGAATGATGCAGAGTTTTCTCCCAAGGGTCTCAGAACCCCATGTTTAAAGGTCAGTCCTGAGGAAAAGTGTGCAAGCCCATGCAATTGCAGCTGACTTCTTGAGCAGTGTCACACTGTCAGGCAGCAAGACCAATGACAGTCTCTTTAGGGACACTCCTGCATCAGCGGCTGTTTTTCCTCCTTGCTTTGGCCTGTCTTCCTCAGGTCTTTGCATTGCAGCTCGGAGGTGAGCAGTAGCACCAGCAGATTTCACTGKGTTCACTGTCTCTCTCAAGTCTCTGCTCCTGAAATCAGGGCGTTAGAAGAGCACTTGAGTTTTATTTTTTAGCCTTGATGGTTGTTAAGAAAACCAGGATTATTCTGCATGCGAAAGTAGGCGAGGGCAAGCAAGACAAGGAAGCAGGAAAGTGTCCAAATACTGAGATTTTTAGTACAATTTTTTGATGGCTGACCTGTATAGA